CCCCAAAACCCCAAAACCCCAAAACCCCAATGAAAATGATCATATCCAAAACTCAGGAATAATCAATTTAAATAATAGATTTTAAATTACAAAATGACAAGTGTTAAATCGCGAAATTTCCATAAACTTGCCTTACTTTTAATTACTCATCTACTGGCATTTATGACTCAGAGCACTATGATAATAGAACCTGTTCAAATTCTCGCTCATTTCCTAGACAAATAAACTGTAAGTTTTTACAACTAAAGTATGTGGGATAGTTAGTAAATGGGAGACTCCAATCTTAGAAAAAGTATTGCAGAATTGATGATGGCCCATATTGCTTCAATTCTGATGCAAATTCATATCAAAGTGGCTCAATAGAAGATAGTCTTGATTATCAAGACATTTACCTAGAGACTCTAAGTGATATTGAGCAATCGACCAAGATAATTAAGGAAAAGTCAGTTGATTCCAAATATCTAAAAGGAATTTTGCTCGAAGGTGAATTCTATAATCTGGTTCTCACTTTCAAGGTTTACTCCAATGTTACCAACCAGACTACTGAGGGCACTCTTGTTGATAAGTTCTTGCAAGCGGAATTCGGTCCCAACAAGTATATATATATTTAGTTTGTCACTCCAGCTTTTCTCACTTCAAAATTCGAGTAAGCAAATGTCTTATCATCCTGTAATTTTAGTGAAGAATTAGTACGTGTCGAGAATTTAGCTAATAAGCTCGAGGAGGATGACACATTCTATCCAGATGAGACATTCGCTTATAATCTTTAGAATCAGGTTGTCATGAGATTCAAAAATCCAGTTTAACTTAGATTTTTGTATTTGAAGTAGCATAGGCAGCCAGCTTTCTTTTAGAAGAAAAGTAAGCATTATACCACATTCATTAGCTAATGTTATAGCCTATGGTGAGTACGTGATTTAGGCTTCATATAAAGGGTAGCCTGTTGTATAGCAGCATATAGGACTGTTTAATACAATGTGGAAGAAGTTCGTCCCAATGGATTAAATAGTCATAGATGAACTTATCATTCCAGCTGGAGTTGATTTCGATAGCGTTTCTCTAGCAGTGGATAATGTTCAGAATTATTACATAGCCTAATAGTAGATAAGAAAAAAGCCAACTTTATTCATGGAGAAGTTATACTTTACTAAGGAATTTGAAGAGGAGTAAAAGATCTAGTAGTAACAGATAATTGAGCAGCAGAATAAGCTTCTTTAAGATTAGAAGGAACAGATTGAAAAGTAGGCTTTTGGAAATCAGGTTAATGATAAAAATTTCGCAAAAAAAACAAATACTCAAAGTTAGTCGTCGACTGATGATCTTAGACAAACATCTCAAGCAAATCAAAAACTCCCTGACTACTCTACTAAAGATATGGACTATTTTGCGTATGCAGATAAAATGGCAGATGATCTGATTAAAACATTTGAACTTATTGGCATTAAGTTAGATAGAAACCTATTCAAAAAATTCATAGCTGTAGATAAGTAAATGTATTAAGCATTAAAAGATAAAGACAAAAAGAGGTATGATGAGTTGTAGGTGAAAATGAAGAAAGCTTTCTTTGAACTTATGATGGTTGGCTTGAGTGAAAAAGAGAAAAAGAAATAAAAGGAATAGTTTGAGCAACTCACAGACAGTGTAGTAGCTAAGGTTGTTATAACTCATCACTAGTAACTTTAAAGGGAATTAGCAGCAGGAAAGACCAAAGCTGATGGTAAGTCTCTGACTAAGGGTAAAGATGACACAAATTCATATATAGCTTTAGACGATAAAGAGCATAAGATACTTCCAGCATAGCAAAAAGAACTGGATTAAATCCTTTAGAAATATATAAGTGCAATAAGGCTCTTTGAAACTGGAAAGCAAGCTGATTAGAGAAATCTTTATCAATCCAAATATACTAGATTCTATGCTGATACTTATGATGAAAAGAAAATGAGCTTTCAACAAAAATAGAAGCTGAATGATGAGTTGAACATGCAAGCTAAGCATATCCTGGACTAAACTGAAGTAAAGATATTAAGTGAAGAATCAGAAAAGATTAAAACTAAATCTGATACATAACTGAAAAGTAGCAAAAAACAGCAAGAAAAAGAAAAATTAGAGACATAAAAATAAGAGAGTAGCAAAGATAAAGTTGCTGCTGAAAAAGGCAATAAACAAAAATTGGAGAAGCCAGCATCAGATGTACCAGCAAAAGATAAACTAATAAAAGATAAACCAGCGTAAGAAAAATCAATATAAGGTAAATAAGTTTAAGATAAACCAGTTCAAGATAAACCAAAGTAAGTGGAATAAAAGAAGCAAGATTTAAAGTAAGAGTCTAAGTTGAAAACTGAGAGTAAAAAAGTAGAATCAAGTAAAGATTAGAAAAAGAACTTAGCAAGTGAAACTAATCATAAAACTAAAACCCAAGATAAAAATAAAGCTGAAGCTGAAGAAAGTGAAGTAAACGCATACTGGTAATATCTTAAGGAATTATTAGGTCTCTAAGACCATGAGTACGAATAATTCAAGGGTAGACTGACAAAACTTGAATAACTCGCTGAGGAATATATGTAAGCTCATGAAAATAACGATGAGAAAAAAATAAAGAAAGTCAAAAAGTAATATAAGAAAGAATTAACTTAATTTGCTTCTCTTGTCGAGGATTTCTAGAATTTGAGTCCATTGGAATAATAATTGCTCGAAAATACTTTTGATGAATTGAGTGAGCAGCTTTTAGATTTAATGGTTAACCCAGAGCTATTAGACTAATTGGAGCTAGAAGATGCTGATGAGAATGAATTAGAAAAATGGGAGCAGTACTTAAGAGATCATGGGCTAGATGATGATATGGAAGATTGAATTTAGATTAAATTTACTAGCATTATTGATATTCATAATATAAAGAAGCATTTGTTTGTAAGTTAATTTCTTAAAGTTTCATTGAATCAGTCTCGAGGGGTTTTGGGGTTTTGGGGTTTTGGGG